CTGCCAGGTCGCAGGAGCAGTGGTGGTAGTGACGTGCGGGGACAAGAAGGTGGAGGTGGCAGTGAAGGCTCCCAGCTGCTCTGTTCCTGGCTGAAGGTGCAGATTCTTGAGAGAAGAGCTGGAGTTTTCTGCTTGTGATGCTGAGGTGTAGCTTCAGGGCTCGGGGCAGGAGCTTTGTGAATGTGAATAACCTATCATATAGGAGTAGGAAAGGAGGCAGTAACGGCTCTGTGTGCGCGGGAAGAGAGGGTTAAAGCAGTCAGAAGGGGCAGTGAGCATCTTGCCAGCACAGCATAAGTGCATCCAGCATCCTCCAGGCAGGAGGAGGCTTCTTTGTGGTAGTAGCAGGAATAAACCACCAGTGTTGCAGCTGCTTCATGTAATCCTTCTCCAGGTGTGGATCCTGCTCACCACGCTCTGCTTAAAATGTCAAAATGAGCACTCTTGACAGCACAGCCCTGTCTGTGGGAACGCGGGTGGTCGAAGCGTTGGCTCTTCCCTACCATCCTGCTGCGGCTCAGGACACTGCGTCAGCTGAAAGATTTCCAGGACAACTTGCCCACAAGCTTGGTTACAGAGAGCACCTCAGCTTACCCAGTGAGGGATGGCAAAAGAGAACTTCCCCTTACAATAGCCGTAACGTGGTCCTGGCCCCAAAGCAAACTGAGCCTGCCAAGGCCTGGCTTTTCATGAGACCCTGCAGCCGGCTCACAGCCCTCCCGCCTGCCAGGCCCTGCCGGCAGTGTGTGCTACCCAGGGTGCTATTTAGGGTGTATATACCCTAAAATCTGCTGAGTTTTAGGGTGTATTTTGTTGCCTTTCCCCTGTGGGGGCAATGGGAGCGAGGTGCCTGCCTCTCTGCCAGTTTTGAGAAATCTGCTCCGGCTCTTCTCCCTGCTGCAGCCACTGGGGCTGGAATGCAGCTTCCTTTGCCTGATGAGCTCTGTCTGTCAGTGGGGCGAGTCCCTCTCCTGTAATCAGTAACCGGAGCTGGTGTTGAAGACATGCCTCATCCCTCCTGCCCGCCTTGCTCGGGCATGGGAGGAGCAGCACCCCCCTGCGCAAACGCTCTGCTCGTGCTTTTGCGGGGAGCGAAAGCCTGTCCTCACCCGGGAATCCTCTTCCTCTGTGGTCTTACATTCAACCACAAAACGCTTGAGAGTGCTGCCACGGACACCGCTAAGATCCGTGGATCAAATGGGAGGCTGAATTCCCTTACATGTGGCTTTCTGCTTGGAAAGAGGAATTTGCGGCAGGGCCCAGGGTACAGAGCAGCCTGGGTGCTTGCAGTCAGTGCTGGAGCCAGACCTAGCTATAATGTGAGAGACTGCAATTGTATCATGCAAAATTTTATTTTCCAGCTCCTGTGCTTAAATTCCTGCTCCACTTGCACCATTCACGAAGCAGATTTCCCCTTGCCATCAGATGAGGCTCTTGGATGTGGCCTGCAGTGAGGTTTTAAGTGGTTTGAGTTTACCTAAAAGTGGCTGCTTCCCCAGTTACCCTCCGTACCAGGGGACGCAAGCAGGTTGTACTGGGTGAAACCAGTTGGCTTCTCAGACTGTTTGATGAGGCTGCAAGACGTGAAGGCGGGATCAGCTTGTGCTATGATGTGTCAGGCACATCAGGCTCCCTGGTGCTCCAGATAGGCTTTGAACAACAAGCCCGGCCAGATGTAAGCGAGCGCACCGAGACCTGGTGTTCCCAGCGTGGCCTCTGTGCCAGCAGACAGCTGCTCGCCGCCTCTTGGCAGGGGCACACACACCCACACCTGGCTGCCCCTGCCCGGGCCGGT